GAAAAGATGAACAAATCAGAAGTTTCCGAAGCTTCTGAAACCATGAAGCATTATAAAATGGGAAACAGATTAATAAGGTAGAATTGTAACACTAAACAATTGGCTGGGAGATTTGTGAAAAAGCATTGAAAGCTTGACTGAAACAAGATAGAAACAATATCTCTAAACTTTTTATTTCTGTTCGGAAAAAATTGATGCTCCAATAACTTGTGGGATCACCACCATGTGTTATTGTGTTGGAATAAATGCAGGCATATATAGAGTTAGAATATGAACTTTGTTTTATTAATCCACAAGGGCATCAAGCTATAACTAACATAAATCTCTAAGTAGAAATCTTGACCCCAGTGAACTTAATGGAATTTTTGCTATTTATTTCACTGGGGTCAGAATTTTAGTCCATATAAATTTGTTTTTTTAGGGCATAATCCCCATGTCCATTGAAGCCAATGAAACCTTTTCCATTGACTGTAACTGACCTTTCATTAGGGCAGCAGTTCCCTTACAAAAGACTGTTGTCACCACTATAGTCCTGCAGACCTTCTTCACCATTATACTTGTTATGGTCACATTCCTGAAACTGCTTTTGTCTTCTTTTATCTGAGATAGCATTAACAAGGCCTGTTTTTCAAAGTTTCTAATGGGCTGCTATGATCTGAAGCCATCAACAGCCCTCTTGATTTTTTCTGTGTGATTTTGTGCAACATTTCTTCTTTGCTTGTTTTCCTCTTTGATGTCTTTGAATAACCTGGATGAGAAGGCAAGATGTACTGGTCTTACTTTTCCCATTTTTTTCTTATATGTTTTCAGTGAATAGGCAGAGTAGCAGTTTTATTTGTGTTTCTTTTTACCCTTAGATCTACCATTGCAATTTGGGATTCTTCCTGTTTTAATCTTTAAAAATTATTTTCTCTCCTGTAAAAATCAATCAAGATTTTTAGCTGCATTCTGCAGTCCTCCATCAAACACACCCTTTTCAGTTTGCTGCTTTCTCAGGTTCTGCTTCTATTTTTCAATAGGGCTTTCTAGCCACTACTTTAGCTTCCAGTTCCTCTTCAAAATATTGCATAATGCTTTTCTTTTTCATGGTATTCTCAAGCAATTATTTCCTATGTTGTACTGGCAAATGTCCTGCATTGTCTATTTTGGGGAGCTGCAGTTCTGCTGAGTTTTACCTTCTGCAGCCAGTGTCTGCAAGTTCCTGAATTTCAGCTCTAATTTTAACTAAACCAGCAGGATTTTCTCTTTCTAGTTTGGTTTGAACTTGATTTTCTAGGATGGAGAAGTTGATATGAAGTGTTTTGGGATTTTGTGATTTCTTTCTCTTGTTTTTTTCTACAAAGTTTTTTTCCAAGTGCTAGAAAAGTCGAGCATCTCTCTGGGCAAAGATATGAGCCACTGCAGCTTTTGCAGCAGTTATAATGGGCAGGTATTCTTCCTGAGATATTCCCAAGTCTAATTTAAACTTGAAGATCTTTCATCCAGAGCATGAGTTTGAACAACGTGAAAAGATAAATGCAAAGTCCTGTACCTGGGATGGGCTGATTCCTTGCAATGGTACAGGCTGGGGACTGACTGGCTGGGATGTTGCTTTGCTGAAAAGGACCTGGGGGTCCTGGTGGACAGTGTGCTAAGTATGAATCAGCAGTGTGCTCTATGGGCTGTACTAAAAAGCACGTAGCCGGTAGATCACAGAAAGTCATTGTTCCCCTTCACTCATCACTCTTTGGATTGCATCTGGAATCTAATTTTAGGCTCCCAGTAAAGGAAATATATTGATAAACTTCAGTGAGCTTAGCGGAGGTCTGTCAAGATGGTCAGGGGCTGGAGTACTCTCCTATGAAGACAGATTGAGAGAGTTGAGGTTGTTCAGCCTGGAGAAGAGTAAGCTCCAGGGAGACCTTATAGCTGTCTCTCAGTATTTAAAGGGGGCCTACAGAAAAGGTGGACAGGGACTCTTTATCAGGGAGTGTAGCAATAGGACGAGGGGTAACCGTTTTAAACTGAAAAAGGGTAGATTTCGATTAGATATTAGGAAGAAATTCTTTACTGCGGGGGTGGTGAAACACTAGAACAGGCTGCCCAGAGAAGTTGTGGATGCCCCATCCCTGGAAGTGTTCAAAGGCCAGGTTGGATGGGGCTTTGAGCAACTTGGTCTAGGGGAAGGTGTCCCTGCCCATGGCAGGGAGCTTGGAACTATGTGATCTTTAAGGTCCCTTCCAACTCTAACCGTTCAATGACTCTATGATTCTATGATCAACTAGACAAAATGCTAAGCAATTTGCTTTGAATCAGTGTTGATCCTGTTTTGAGCATGAGGTGGGACTAGAAGATGTCCCAGAGTCCTTTCCAACCTGAATGATTCTATGAACATCATTTTCCTATAAGCCAAGAGAACAACTATACATAACAGATGTAACCAGCCTCATCTATTAAAAAAAAAATTAGTCTAGCAAGAATAATTATGCTATAGCTACACAGCCAAGTTTGGAACCCCACTGTGCTGGGTGTTTATAATGGGAGAAAGTCCCTGTGTTTATAAAGCTTGCAATCTAATCAGCTAAACTGGACATACAGTGAGAGCAGGAACACAGTAAGATGAAGTGATTTTCTAGAAGTCACTCCTGTCTCCAGGGTCTCCTGAGTCCTAGTCCACTGGTCTGCTGGACCACACTGCACTCACACTGACTGCATAGGTCTCCAAGTTTTCTGAAGATGAATGTTTCATAAAGCATATTCTATTTCAGAGAGAAGTGGTCATTCAGAAGATTAAGGTCTTTTTCAAATGGGATGTTCATCTCTGCCAGGTGGTATGTTAAGTCTGAATCATAAATATATTTTATTTCCTTGGCCAGACAGTGCAGTGGAAGTGCAACTTGTCATTTTTGACTTCCAGTTTCAAGAGCACCAAGTAAGTTTCTGAATTTGCTCCTTCATTTCTGAGCAACTGACATATTCTCCTGTACCTCAGTACAGGTTAGGGGCTGACCTGCTGGAAAGCAGCTATGTGGAAAGGGACCTGGGAGTCCTAGGGGACAACAGGATGACCATGAGCCAGCAATGTGCCCTTGTGGCCAAGAAGACCAGTGGTATCCTGGGGTGCATCAAGAAGAGCATGGCCAGCAGGTCGAGGCAGGTTATCCCCCCCCTCTACTCTGCCCTGGTAGGGCCTCATCTGGAATATTGTGTCCAGTTGTGGGCTCCCCGGTTCAAGAAGGAGAGGGAACTGCTGGAGAGGGTCCAGCAAAGGGCTACGAAGACGATTAGGGGATTAGAACATCTCTCTTATGAGGAAAGACCAAGGGGCTTGGGTCTTTTTAGTCTGGAGAAGAGAAGACTGAGGGGGGATCTTATCAATGCTTATAAATGCTTAAAGGGAGGGTTCCAGGGGGGTGGGAACAGTCTTTTTTCAGTGGCACCCAGCCATAGGACAAGAGGTAATGGGCACAGACCTGAACATAGGAAGTTCCATCTAAACATGAGGAGGAACTTCTTTACTTTGAAGGTGGCAGAGCACTGGCACAGGCTGCCCAGAGAGGTGGTGGGACCTCCCACCCTGGCATCATTCCAAACCTGCCTGGACACTGTCCTCTGCAACCTGCTGTAGGTGACCCTGCTCTGGCAGGGGGGGTTGGACTAGATGATCTCCAGAGGTCCCTTCCAACCCCTACCATTCTGTGATACTAAACACTCAAAATGTAAATGATGCAAAGTTACTTTGCTTATTATTTTGGATAGTTGATTTTATTTTTTCCACAGAAATGTGTCTAAGCTGACCTTCTTATGCTAAATGCACTTTACTGTCTAGAAACTTCAGGGACTATTTGAAAGCTTTACAGAGCTTGATACTGTTGTTGGATGCCAGATATTATCATAGAAGCTGTCCTCATTCTCCTGCTTTCCAGTTGCAGTTATCCTCATACTTTCCCTTGCAGATCAAGCAAGGTGCTTTTGGACTGAAGATTTATACTGCCTTCTATTGTAGATGTATGGTTTTGTAAAAGCTAATTAAATATGGCTATATTTGGGTTTCTACACTTTTACTAGGAAATGGTAGCAGGACATGGTGCAGGGGGAGCAGAGTTACTCAAATCTGGCAGTCTGAATTTAAGAGGCAGTTTGCAGATAGTCTTTTACATTAAGAAAAACACACAAGTCAATCATAAACGCAGTCAGTCACTGAAACTTCCAAAGAATTATCTGGCTTCACTGCAGGCACAGATAAATTAGAGATTATGGGCCTAAGTCTCTTTTCGCACCAGGGTAAATCAGGAGCACCATCACTGAAGTCAACAGATCTGAACAAGAAAAGAATTAGGCCCTATGGCTTTTAATAAGAGGAATACAAAGAATTTAATTACAGGAATCAAGCTGAACTTCCCTTCCCCCATACACAGACATCTGCACATGCTCTCTGGTAAGGTTTGTCTCTCATAACATTTTTGTACTTCTGTTATCCTTATCCTGATCAGATACTACCTATGTGCAAATAACGGGGACTTAGATGCTATGGGGATGAGGGCCATCTAGATGTTAATACACGGAGTGGTTAAAACACCGGTAGAGTTGTAGCTCAGTTCTGTATTGAGAAACCTGGTGAAATCCCAAATATGTTGCAGTTTTCGACCTCCACGTTATGACTCAGAAATAAAAAATGAAGAGAGGAGTTCATTTTCTATGCTAGGGAGGGAGTTTCTCACCTAAGCAATACCTCTTTGAAGAAGTAAAATAATGCAGCGTACATGTAAATGAACAGCTGCTGGAAACTCTGGTAATACAAATATATTTCTTTAATTTCCACATATGTGAGCAATCTTACATATCTATAAAAAGACTTGAAAATAAATAATACAAAAAGTTATATTTGAGCCACTGTTTATGAAACCCTATGACAAAAAAAGCAGGTGCAAGATGAAGACCCCAGTCATGGAATATAAATAATAGTCCAGGAACAATCAAGTGTTGCACCAGATTATTTTGACAGAAATGGAAGTACTTACAGTCTAAGTGACTATGTCTGATGCCTTCCACATCTTCAGCATGAATGAAGTGGTAACATCTCTTCCCTACAATATCTACAGGGGTCAGATCCATGTAATCACTAATCCTAAAAAGGAAAAAAAATACAGTCTATAGTTCAAGAAGGAAAAGAATACAAGAACTGTCAATTGACTCAGAAAGTGAAATCTGCTAAAAAGTTTTTCACTACTACACTAATTTGAATGTAATATCTGTACAAACAAGACACAGCCTTAAAGAAAAAAAAAAAGAAAGAAAATGTTTTTTAAAGAAACCTTGAAATCATTTTATCCATTTAAATAAGCGGAAAGTTAAATTCTAGTGCTTATTCTCCCCCTAGCATAACACCAAGACAATATAATTCCATGAAATTGTAAAGCATTAGCAACAATCCAAAATCCTCATTAAAAGACCAAGATGATTCAAGGTTACATAATAAAGTAAAAACATGTTATGTTTATAACAAATGATTAGAGACACATTTCATTTCAACAGATTGGTCTTCTATTGGGTATATTCATGAAAAAGCTCTTCAACCATTTCTTGGCACCAAGTCCAAACTGATATTTCAAGGGATATAATTTAAATGCTGAGACATACAGATGCCTCAGGGTGTTATCGTTTTTAGTCTAATTCATTTGGGAGCTCAGCTTTCACTCTGGGCCCTTTCAACTGGGACTTTGTTGTTTATTGCACATAGAAACTTTAAAATCTATTCTGCAGACCTTTGTGTGCGTGCGTCTGTGTGTGTGTGTCTGCATGCTTGTGTCTGTCTGCGTGTGTAAACTTCTGTTATGGAGTGTCAAGATGTCAGTGTCCTTAAATGCAGTACAGAAAATAACAAAACAATTGCAAAATGCCTTGCTCACACAAGCATTTAAAAGTATGTCTGTTTTTTGGAAATAGAATAATTTTTAGGGTTTGAAATCTGCTGCAATCATTGGGGTTAAGCCCACTTTGCAATTGTAAGATATAATTGCCGTCCATTTAAGGGAGCTGTAAGAAACACCAAACATCATAGCCAGATAGCTGAAACTACTTGAGTGTGATCCTGAGGGAGGCCAGTGGTGAGGCTAAACCAGAAACCAAACTGCATAGGTCTGGGGGGTTCCCAGCAGGCAGATGGGGTGAACACAGCCACTGAGGCACTCACTAGCAGAGCTGTGTTTGCCTGGGTTTGTGAGGAAGGGAGAATGCATAGACCAGAGAGAATGGAGGAGAACGGAAGCATTAGACAGAGCCACAGCACCATGGGTGGTTTGTCCCAATTGAAAAAAAAACAAACATGAAAAACATCACAGGTAAAGCAGGTGGACTCATATTTGCTAGTAAAAATTGCAAAAACCAAGTTTAGCACAAAACACAACAGCCTTCTCCCACTTTCATGAGAGTGTTGAAAGATGTGTACTTTCCAAACAACTGCCTGGTAGTTATAGCACGTAACCGAATGTGGGATACCCATCTGGGGATACCTGTCTGATGTTTACCACAAACTAGAGTTGAAAAGCACCTCTCCTACCTTCTCACGGAGAACACAATTCACCAGGATAAAGACAAGCCTGGGATGGTGGCAGTGGGACTCCCTATGCCTCCTGCTGAGTTCCTCCACTTTGGTCGCACAGTGATTTATGGGCTGAGAAACAAGGGACCGGGGATCTCTGACCAGTGATAAGAAACCTCACCAGAAGGAAGGGAATCTGAGATTTAAAGGTTCCTGTCTCCCGTACTGTATATTATCTTTTTATACTAAACTAAGTGTATAAACAGTCCCTGGAGTAGGAACTAGAACTCAAGTTTCTCCCCCTCCCATGTTTACATTCTGCTCACTGCAATACTTTGCTGTCTCTTCTCTGGCCCAAGAACTGTGTGTTTTCTGTTAGAAGGTGGCTCTGCTTCAAGATCAGGAAATCCCACCTTGCCCAGCCTAGTATAAAGGGGCAATCTCCAGGCAGGCCACTGCCCTGTGATGTACCCAGGCTGCGAGTGCTACTGTTCATTCAGCTGTATTTTGTTTCTTTGCAGCAGCATGTTTCTGTAAAGTCTTCACAGATAAAAATGAACACAGCAAGGCAACTGTGGAAGCAGATTCCTAATCCCTTAAGTTTAAAGCTAATATTAAGAAAAAGCTTTTTCAAACAGACATATGAAGGACATAAGATTTTTTCTGATGAAAAAAGTGGAAGAAGAAACAGAAAGAATATCCAGATGTAAATGATGATCACTGGCAAGCAATGACACCAAAACCAGAAGCAAAAGAAATTACATCAAATGGAACACTCATGCTTATATCAAAGTTACCAAAGATGGAAAATAAACAGTTTGCATGAAGAAAAAAAAATAATATTGTAGTATATCTTAAAGCACTAGTTAGGAGCCAGATCTTGTGGCTTCCAAGCCCTTTGACAAAATAAAGCAACAGGTCGATCAGTTGGAACTCAGTTCTGCTGAATACCTGATCCTGTAAAACATAAGCACAAGCTTACGTCTGAGCAGATCAGTGGTTCCACTGCCTTACAGGGCTGTTAACATGATTGAAATGTAAAGGTAGGTATATGGTACTGTGCTTTGCTGAATTAGGACCAAATTGTGCACACATTTGCCGGCTTGAAGCTCTCTACCCAAGACTGTTTCTGTATATCTGAACCATTGGCAACCACTGTCATGGCCAACAGACCAAAGGTCTTGCATTTGGAAAACACAGTGTTCACTGGGCTATTTCCTTTTGGGCATATATTAGCAGATATTGCTATAGCAGTCCACATTAAACTGGGCTATAGGCTCTCTCCAGATGGTGTCCAATCACTAACAGTTGACACTGAAAATACACAGACTGATGTTGTACTCTAGCAGCAGCCTCTTTATTTTGGTTTTAGTTATCTATCACTGTCTAAGATGCTTTGTCCTCTGCAGGTGCTTTTCTCTCTCCACTGACTAATAAAGAAATTTTAGATGATTTTAGACTATGTGATGAAGTTAGATGACAGGAATCCTACATTTGGAAAACAGACAAGGATTAACATACCACATTTTAGGCAACAAAATTTTACATCCCCATTTAACACTCTGAGAACAAAATATTACTGTTAGAAATAGTCAGTGCACTAGCTAATGGATCTTGTCTCAAAGGCAAGCTAACCATTGACTAGTTTGTGCACTGAGTCCAGGATTCCAATGCAGATCTCTTAATTCAGAGGAAAGTAACAAGATGCACCCAAAGACTTGAGCAATGTCACTCCTGCTCCCTGCTGTTGCAAGCAGGCAACCACTTGGAAAACTAGGAGTACTATTGATCTCACCCCTGCTGATCCAATGGTCCACTGTGAGCATTCATTTCAGTTAAGTAGCATGGCTTCTGCTCCATACTCCCCGTGGCTGCCAGTAACTCCCCATTGCTCCATAAATAGTGCTTACAGCTTTCCCAGCATGGATCCATTTTTCTCTGTTTTCATCAATGTTGTGCTTGCTTTACTGTGGCACCACAAAGAATTTCCCGTCTGCCCACAAGTGGCAGGAGTCAAGCCCCTATATTCAGGATGGGATACTTATCTCCTTTTCTATAGTCCCAGAAGAGAGATCCCAACTTCCCTGACTCGGAGAATGGCCTTGGCAAATGCCCAGATAATTCATCTGACAGCTTCAATCAGTTGTTCAGTTAATTCCCTGCTTTCACCGCCTTCTGTCCTTTCCATTCCTCTGGCTTCTACAGTTATATTCTGCTTTTTACCTGCTACGAAATCCAAATCCTGTCAATCTTGCTCCATTTTCCACCAGTGGAAATCCCACAACCTCAGTGAGCTAACATTCACCTCCCAGCCCCAGCAGAAGCATTTCTACTATTTGAAATTCCTTTTATAAACTATTTTTAACACTGACACAGGCGCTTAAAATGGAACTATTGACACATAAATTCAAGCACTCATCTACCCTAGCATATGGGATAAAATCCATCACAAACAATGAAAAGTTGCTTTATAATGTTGCCTTTACCTTAACAAGCGAAAAACATCAGTAAGCTCAACACTTTCTTGCATAAGTCAGCTGGTTTACTATAGTTTACCACGTGTTATCAGCTCTTTCTATGTGATTACCAATCAGCGCTCCACATCTGATGCATTTTAACATTTTTCAGTGATGCCTTTCTCAGGCACTTGAAAGTTTTATTGCTACATGAACGTAAAGGGAAGGTTTGAGAAAAATGTTTAATTAAGAAAAAACACATACAATTTAGGGCTCATAAAAATGCCAAACTGATGGCAGGGAAAGTATAAATCTTCCCAACATGGCCCACAAATTCATATCATATTTGACCTGGCAGAATAGTTAATTTGTCACATCCATTTGATTCCCAGCTTTTTTATTGAGGTTGCCAATGAAGGTAACAGTAAGTGCAGGTGATTTTGTTGAAAGGAAATCTGTTCATTAGGAACTGGACAGATACCAGCAACTCATTTCACAGAGGCCATTGATGCTGCAGTGGTAGCAGCTTTCCATTACTACCTAGGTAGGTCATAGTCAAATCAAAGACTAAGGCAAAAGGTTTCTTCTAGATCCTACTGCTAATCCCCAGAGCTCTTTCACCAGCTGCCAGATTATACAGAATCTAGATGCTCATTGGGTAGAGTTGCAGGCAAAAACTCAGCCCAAACTTTAATACTGGTACCAGCTTTCTCGGTGACCTTGTGCAAGCCACTTTCTATGGAGCAGTTTTCCAAGCTTAAAAACGAGAATAATAAATTCTCTTTGAGATAATGCTTTGGAAGTTTAGATGAAGTGCTTTCTCTAATAGCCAAGTAATATTATTATTAATACTATTGTGGCAGTTCAGCAACCCAACAGCAAAGATAACCTCGTAACTGAAATCCAAGATTATTTTAAACTGTTTAAGGCCCTGATTCAACAAAGCATTTGAGTTTATCACTTTTTATAAAAGTTTATATTGATGTGTTATCCTGATCGTAGGTATACCATTATGATTGAGCAATTATAATTGCTCATATCAGAGAGCTTCCAGTCTTAACTTATAATATGCCATGGCTGCTGTCACATGAAAAGCTTGCATTAGTCATCTTGTTTGTTCCACTTTTTGATGATAGGTCCCTTCGACAAAATTTCTTTTGGCTGCATTATCTTCTTTTTTCCTTTCCAACCTTTCCCCCATACTTTAGACTTCCATCCATGGACCCAAACTTCTTTATTACTAATATCTTCCTTCTCAGATATCTTCACTCTAAATACCTGTTCCCTTGATTTTATTTTTATTTTTCAGGGTCCTAAGGTCACAAATAAGCCTTAACAGTACTTGAATTTATGTTGCAATAGTTCCGTTTTAAGTCTTAACAGTCCACTCTCTGGCTCCCTGCCCGGGAGTGGGGCTGCCCCGATGTCCCCCCGCTGCCCCACTCCTGACTGGGTGGTGGGATGACCCCTGGCTGCCCAGCCATGCCCTGACGGACTGCCATGAGGAGCCCCTGACGCTACTGGCGCCCAGCCCCCAGGAAGTAGACAGCTGAATTTAAATCCTCTCTTCCACCTTCCTAGATCACTTGTCGCTATCACATTGAACACAGCCCCCCCCCCCCACACCCCCCCCCCCCTCACCTGTTCCCATTTCACTGCTGTCTTTCCAAGTACGCCCTTTACCAATTTTATTCTACAGTTTTCCCACCTCTTACTGCAACAGATCCCACCTCTCTAGCCTACTATCTAGGCCATCTGTGCTTCTGTTCCATTAAACACTTAGCATGATGTGCTGTAATCTGCAAATTAGTTCAAAAATGGAAAACTTTAAAACTTCAGACAGAAAGACTTGTGGAGTGGAGGACGAGGGAGCATAAGGACAGCCATACAGGTCAGACCAACGTCTGTCTAGTACCAAATCTTGCCTCTGAGAGGGATGGTGAGAGATTGTAAAAAGCAGGGAAAGCTTAGCGGAATCTTTCCTGGTCTATCCTCCCCTATTCCAGCAAGAAGTCCTGCAAATTAGAGTTTTTAATATACCTTTATCCTCTAAGAATGTAATGAAAATGAAGGTGATGACGATGAGAGTGAATTCAATGCTCTCATACAAGATGAGAATGACATTGCAGGAGTCAGAAATTTCAAAACTTTTTGCCAAGCCCATGGAACAAAGAATACACACAGCTAAAACAAAGAAAAAAGGAACTAAAAGCTGTACCTATTTTCACAGTAAATGATATTGAGGTCCATATTCACACGAGTGACAAACATGTGGCAGTCAATCCTGACTTCATTAATTGTAGGAGGTGGCAAAGCATGAGCAACGACAACAAGTCCCATGATTTGGCTGGGTACTGTCCGTCCGTGGGACAGTGACACTCTCAGACGTAACCGGCCTGTTATATGAATCACCTGGAAAATAAAAACAATAAAAGAAACCCTGGTGAAGTCTGGATGCAACTGTGACATCAGTTTCTTTTTTTAAGGATAGCATTACTATTCACTATAGACCACTTAACACAGCTAAAAATTGTACTAAGTAACTGCCAGTATTAGTGTTAAGCTTATTAATATTGGCTGTCAACATGTCCTATATGTCCTCATGGCAAAAAAGAAGACAAGAACGTAACAGACAAATGCTTCACATTCATCAAATAAAACCCTCAGAACTCCTATGCTATCGATTTTTGTTGCAGTGGTTGTTAGATAAAGAGAGAAGAAGAAAAAAACAAACTAGTAATTCAACAAAAGAAAAGAGAGAGGGGGATAAAACAGAAATAATGAAGGTATAAACTAATAAAATACTAATTTTATAACATTTGGAGATTGAATATGAGACAGAAACATTGGCAGTTTTGAAAGTTTTCCAGAACGGATTTAATTGAATTGCCAGTCACCTACATCGTGGAGACACTGCTCACAGCCTTGAATTACTTCTTTGTGGTTGGCAATTTGAGAAGCAACAGCCTAGAAGTGATCAATGAGCTCAGCTGCAGGATGGTCTTCCTGCATCCACAGCAAGGTTTTTAAGAGCTGGTAGATACACAATGCCTTTGCCTGGTACACTTTGTGTGCATAGAGAGCTCTGGGGGTGGAAGGTTCCTTTCCCTATTCAGAAGATAATGCCAGAAGATGCCCGGGAGATCCAAGTGCACCCCCTGAGAGTGAAATTCTAAGAGTGCTAATCCACCACTTCCAGTTTCACTCCTTCTGTGATAACTAATTTCCTCATTAACTAATGAAGAAATAGCTAAAAGAAATAGGATTAAATTCACAGGAGGGGCAGCAACAGTATATTTTGCTCCTTCCAGTTAGGCTTGCATATATGTCTGTTCTGTGGGTAAATAAAGGGGTTGTTTTTTCAACAAAAGTATATAAACACAGCACCAATGCCAGACATCAAACGGAAATCAGAAACTGCAGTTCCTGTACTCATGGATAAGACCACCATAAGAACTGGGAGTTGCAGGCTGTCCCAGATTTTCACCCTCAGAGTGTGTTACAACATCAACATGAAGCAAAGGCTTCCAGGAGATGGGGGTCCCTTTCACTGTGATCCCAGACTCACTACCCAGAGGCCAACAGAGATGTTGGTTGGTACCAAGTGCACTGGAGGAGGTGACAGAGATGGGATGTAGTTATACATCCACTGATACTCATCTCATAAAGACAGCAGCCAAACTCTTTGCTTCTGATCTGAGATTGATTGTTAATAGAAAGTGAGAGAGAAGAAAATCTTTCATTAATAAGACTGCAAACCACAAAGTGCATCCAAATTCAAATCTAATTCATGCTAGCAGATCTGTGAACTAAGCCTTGAAGTTTGTTTCTTTTTTTTTTAACCTAGTTATTAAAATATCTCCTTTCTCGCCTATTTTACATTTCTACTGTAGCCAGTCTGGTGAATCTGAACGAGCAAAGTGATTAGCTGCTGTGTTTGTCCATTTGAGTTACAGGTTTCTGACCACCCACATTTCAAGTAATTATTGCCTAAACTCACACTTTATGCACCTTCCAAGAGCAAACTATTCTATAAATATTTGAAAAAGTTCCTAAAGGCAAGGATGCAAAAACACCATTTCAAACACACTTTATTTTTTTTTCTCAAGACCTCATTAACTAATGAAGAAATAGCTACAAGAAATAGGATTAACTTCACAGGAGGGGCAGTAATAGTATATTTTGCTCCTTCTAGCTAGGCTTGCATATACATCTGCTTTTTATCATTATCTGTCTCTCTTTATCATGCAGTTTCAGCTTACTGCAAAAACTTAAATCTGTAAATGCTCGGAAAAATGCTGATGGATAGCTAGTAATAATGTGAAAAATAATCTTATACTGAACGTGCTATGCAAAAGTATTGTTGTTCTGTTGTTTTTTCATAAGAGTCCTTATGCTAATATGTTTGAAGTTGGCACTATCACTTGAGGGAATTTTTAAGATATATCATACTGAAAATCCATTTATCTCTTCCTTGTATTTTTTGAAACCTCCATGTCATTTGCAGCTAAATATCAATATGATTTGTTTTTGAACAACTCTGTACTCAGTCAGTACCTCACTTTTTTCTGATTCCTCATCTGAAATACACCTCAGATGTAGTATTACCCCAAGAGACAGTTCCAAACCTGCTAGACGCACCATATATTAACATTGTTGAATTTCAAGAGAGTTTTCTCCCAGATTCAAATTATTTAGCTTGTTCCTAGCTCTATCATGGATCAAAACATGTTCTAAATCCCCATGTGAATTTGAATTTTAGGGGTCAGCACTCAATTGCATTCTGATTCTGTACACTGGGAAATGTACAGCAAACTGCCCATCAGTTCCAGTGCGCCTCTAAAGAAACTGTATTTCCATGCCTGAAATCCCTTTCTATGACAACATTAGTCAAACGCACCAAGTGGGAAATCTAATTGGTAGTAAAAAACAATTCTAGCTGTCATGACCTTGTCTACATTGTGAGTATTGCCACTTTTAACACTGGTTCATTTGAACTGGGATTAAGGGTGATAGGAATTATAGGGTCAATTATCTCCAGTAGCTAAAATTAATCTCTTTATAATTCAATCCCACAGCACTAGTCTATCACATCCTAAAGCAGTATTATGACTTTAATGAAGCTAAATTGCAAGAATAAACTGTTTTATGAAGGACAATACTTGGATCCAAATGTAAATATTTAACAAAAATTTGCTAGGAATATTCTGAAAATCAAAAGTAATTGCAGCTCTTCTGTGCAGTTTTCTTTATAAATGCTTTCTTCTGAGAAGTATGCAACAGTCCAAATCCATCTTTAAGCTATAATTGTCTTCTTTCTAATAATGCTATATGAATAGACTGGCATGTTTAGATGTCACAGGAAGAGAAGACAGTAATACTGTCTTCTGTCCATTACAAAAATGTGGGTGAATGTTACACACCTGGTCACAGGGTTCACCAGAAACTTTGTTTGTCAAGAGCTGTACAGATTTCCCCAGCATTTCTCCATCTACCTCTTAAAGGAAATTTAGCAAGACTCTTTTTTTTTACTCTAATGGGAGCTCGACTGGGTTAACAGTTCCTAGACTTTTTTTGCTTACAAACTGTTTATTGGCAGGTGTTGTAACTTTCATGATGATTTCATCCTATAGAAGCAGAGGGAAAATAAACCTTGTGACCTGATCTAGACCAGGATTTGACACAGGTCATTCCAACCTGTATTATTGCTTGTAGCGTAACCTAGTTGTATAATAGTTATACTTGGATAGACAGGTGGGTAAACCAAAAAGCATTCTGTAATAATAAAACTTTTAACACGGTGAAACAAATATAACACATACACTGCTGTAAAGATGTCACGCTGAAGCAAAACAAATACTATAAAAATCTTCTGTACTGTTTAATTGTTTTGTTAAAAAATTTCTAAATCAACTTTGCTTGATGCTCCAATATTGGAAAAAAAATCATTATTTGGCTTTTATTTTTAGCTGATTAGAAAAGGGATTTGCAAAATATTGTAAGTACATGTAAACACAGTTTATGAGTGTGAGAGTGTTAACAAGCCACATTGCTTGGACAAATATATATTTCTTTTCCCTGCCATATGCTCTCTTTAGTCATCTGTTAGCAATAAGCACTTAGATGTGCTCTACTAATGTCTACTCATTACAAACAAGCACATCACAAAGACCTTGATAAAACCTTCCCTCTGTCAATACTTAAGGAAAGGAAAGCCCAGCAATTGAAAAACACATCTGGAACCTGCTCATCAGCCTTTAAAGCTAAATCTCACCTCTGGAGATGGAAATACTTTCTTTGTCAAAAGACATCTTTAAATATTACATCCATTTTTTCACATACATGTGATGTCAGAGTAAGGACATGCATTACCAGAGGCTATAAAAACCTGCAAGCATGAAAAATCTGTGAATTTCACCTTTCATATGTCTCTGTGTTCTTCAGAACTTAAACTTCCATTAGAAAGAAATTTCTAAACTATTTCTTTTGTTTTCTGTGTAAATCACTATGCCAATTTATTATAAGACTGAAACCACACCACTGGTAGAAGTGCTCCCTCCACTTCATTTTTCTAAATGAGATACTAAATTTGAAGCCTTAAAATTATTGCTTGGACCCAAATTTTGAGAAGACAGTCATGTATGAAAACATCCTAATTCAGTTTGTGTGCCTAGATATTTATTTAGCTGTCTTATGAACAAATCACAGATACACTTATCCCTCTTTACAGAAACAACTGTGATTCACAAAGATATATGTATTTGTTTTGGTCTCTCAAAGATGTTATTTTATACTTCAAAAATCAACACCTAAGTCTTCAAAACACAACTAATTTGAACTGCTAAAATTGGCTGAAGAAATATCAAACTATAGCCACGTTCTAACAGTTTTGTTTTGAAGACTTATGTGCTCCTTCACTCACAAAAACATGGACACGCATCTCAAAAACTGCTTGTGAAACTAGCGAGACAAATGTTGTAACGCTCCACGAGGTAAAAGGTTCCTATATGGTTTCAGGTGATTTCTAAACTCAGACTGAACGTTTGGAAACAGGCTTTCCTCTTGACTTTTCAAAGAAAACAGAGTCCACTGTCACATCTGGAATTCATACAGTGATATCCTAAAGGCTCTCCTTTGCTGACATCAAAATATATCCATGCCTATCAACCTAAACTTCAGTATAAGTTTCTTTTCACAGGAAACCACAGTTCTCTGCTTCCCTCCCTGTACCCCGCTGGAGTCACTACAAAATTTCTCTTTGCTTATGTTTTCTCATGGTCAGAAGCCATTTGCTTTTGGGGTTCCACAGCCCCCTCCTCACTGAGACCAAAGCCTGCTCTCCCAGTCTTCAGGAAAGCTTTAGGAAAATATATCACTTATTATTCAGCAGCAGCTGGGGTCAAAGAGGTCCA